ATTTGAAATTACATAAAAATCGCCAAGTTCTAAGTTTTTGGGTCCAATTCATCAAAAAAGCCATTTTGACCCGAAATGGCTACTCACTCGACTATTTTTTCTTCATTTCTCAACTTATAAACTCCTTGAATCTCAAAACAACTCATAATCACATATTTCTAAGTGTTTTTCATTTGAAATTACATAAAAATCGCCAAGTTCTAAGTTTTTGGGTCAAATTCATCAAAAAAAGCCATTTTGACCCGAAATGGCTACTCACTTGCCTATTTTCTTCATTTCTCAACTTATAAACTCCTTGAATCTCAAAAAAAACTCATAATTACATATTTATAAGTGTTTGTCATTTGAAAGTACATAAAAATCGCCAAGTTCTAAGTTTTTGGGTCAAATTCATCCAAAAAAGCCATTTTGACCCGAAATGGCTACTCACTTGCCTATTTTCTTCATTTCTCAAATTATAAAATCCTTGCATCTCAAAACAACTCATAATCACATATTTATAAGTGTTTGTCATTTGAAATTACATAAAAATAGCCAAGTTCTAAGTTTTTGGGTCCAATTCATAAAAAAAGCCATTTTAACCCGAAATGGCTACTCACTTGACTATTTTCTTCATTTCTCAACTTATAAACTCCTTGCATCTCAAAACAACTCATAATCACATATTTATAAGTGTTTGTCATTTGAAATTACATAAAAATCGCCAAGTTCTAAGTTTTTGGGTCCAATTCATCAAAAAAAGCCATTTTGACCCGAAATGGCTACTCACTCGACTATTTTCTTCATTTCTCAACTTATAAACTCCTTGCATCTCAAAACAACTCATAATTACATATTTATAAGTGTTTGTCATTTGAAATTACATAAAAATCGCCAATTTCTAAGTTTTTGGGTCCAATTCATCAAAAAAAGCCATTTCGACCCGAAATGGCTACTCACTTGGCTATTATAAGTGATTTTGAGTTGAAACTTATTATTTCTCAAACTATTTTAGATTTCCAATGGAAGAAAAACTTCAAAGAGAAAGAGGGTGGAGAAGCCTAAAAGAATTGATCAACCTAAGAAGAAGCTTAGTGAACAACAGTCCAAGAGTGAACAAGCGTCGAAGTTGCACTCTTCGAAAGGTTCACCCATGCCACCTACTCCAATTGTTGAAGACATTGTTCTTCAATCTCTCTCTACTGAAATGACCTTTCTTCACAACCGTGCTTGTCATTTGGTCGATCCCATGGAAGTTGCACTTCCTAAGGCAATGTTCCACTATGATGAGGATGCAATTGCATGGATCAGCAAAGAAGATGTGAAGGAATTTCTACGTGGTGCAAAGCTTAACATTTCCCTCATTCAAACATTCATGAGGTACTTCAATGCCCACATAAAGTTCATACTTTTTTCAAGTTATTCAAATTGATGGTGATTATCCTACATCTGATAAATTAATCAATGTTCATGCACGCAGAGCACTACAGGAGCACTTAACTGACACTGATTCTCCTTGTAAAGTTGGGTGGTTATGCCCCGAGCAGTTATCCACTACTAAAATCATAGGCAACCCCCATAACGTGTTGTACTATGTTGAACAGAGTATAAGAGAATCAACGCGTGCGGGAGACAAGTTCATATTCGCCCCATGTTATAGAGAGTATGACTAACCATGTCAAATTCAATCGATTTGGCCTCATTATATGTTGACTCCTAAATATTAATTACCTTGTCTATTGTGAACTTATGTAGGGAGCATTGGAGCCTCATGGTGATTTGTAATTCCACTAACACAATTTATCACCTTGATTCAGCTCGATCATCGGAGAAGTGGCTCGTGAAGTCTATATTGCAAAAGTAAATATATATAGCAACCTATAGTGATGATTATTGCTAATAATAACTAATTTAGTAATCATACGACTAATCAAATTTGATTGTATTTTTTATACTACAGTGTTATGAAGAAGCTACATTGTCGTGCTCCAAAGGGTCCAACATGGAAGACACCGTTGGTAATTTACATGATATTATTGTGATTATCTTGAAAATCTATGGTAGTAAATATTTGCTCATTTCCTTTGCATGTTTCACTGATGTGATTTGTTTGTCATATGCTAGTGCGCACAACAAGAGAATGGACTTGATTGTGCTTTGTATGTGATGAGATTCATGCTTGACATTGTGACTCATTGTACGGACACTCAACAGCTTGATGAGGTAAGTCCTAAAACTTCTTGAAATGCTATATTGATGTGATTTCACGCCTTAGACACTTAATATTACCCAACAATGGCATGTTATGAGAAACAAAAAAGCTATTTCACAAGAAAGGTAGAAAATGGGCTGAATAGAAGTCATATGGGCCATGTTAGGGCCATTTTGTGTTAATATGCTCTTTTGATGTGATTTCTTTCCTTATACACATATAACTAGATAATATTGACATGTTATGAGATAAATAAAGTTCATTTAATAAGAAATTTAGGAAATGGGCAAAGTAAGGTCATATAGGCCATATTCGGGCCATTTTGAGTAAAAAGCGTCGTAAACCTTAATAAAATTCTCTCCTATACAATTTTAGGGCTTACACACATACAACTACCCAACATTGACATGTTATGAGAAAGAAATAGTTCATTTGATAAGTAATGTAGAAAATGGGCTACATAGAAGTCATATAAGCCCTATTTGGGCCATGTTGAGTAAAATGCGTTGTTAAACTTCTTGAAATGCTATATTGATGTGATTTCTAGCCTTAGACACCTAATATTATCCAACAATGACATGTTATGAGAAATAAAAAGGCTATTTCACAAGAAAGGTAGAAAATGGGTTGAATAGAAGTCATATGAGCCATATTAGGGCCATTTTGTGTTAATATGCTCTTTTGATGTGATTTCTTTCCTTATACACCTATAACTAGATAATATTGACATGTTATGAGATAAATAAAGTTCATTTAATAAGAAATGTAGGAAATGGGAAAAGTAAGGTCATATAGGCCATATTCGGGCCATTTTGGGTAAAAACCGTCATAAACCTTAATAAAATGCTCTCCTATACAATTTTAGGGCTTACACACATACAACTATCCAATATTGAAATGTTATGAGAAAGAAATAGTTCATTTGATAAGTAATGTAGTAAATGGGCTATATAGAAGTCGTATAGGTAATATTTGATAAAATACATATTTTTTGCCTAATTAATTATTTTTAAAATAATGTTTTTGTATTTCAAGTTTTGCAAGGTCCAAAAGGATGGTCCGTTGACAATCAAGGAGCTTAATGAAGTTCGTGATATGTTGGCGTCTTTCATCACCTTCAACATGTAAATGGCATGCATTGTAATTGTAAATTATTTATGTTAACTTTTGAACTATATATAACTTATTATTCATTATATATGTGTACTTACTATTATTTGTATATGTAAGCAAATTTTTTTTTTTTTGTATTGCGTTTGGGAATATTTATATCTATATATATATAATTGAATTCTTGTATCTAATATTATTTTTGTATATAATAATTAATAATATTATTATTAGTTATTATAATAATAAAATTATTAATTATTATATTTAATATAATTGCTGGAATTACAGGGTATTATTATTGCAGGTTTTTTTTTAAAAAATATTATTGCACGATGGAAAAAAAACGAAAAAAAAAAGTATACAAAAGGCACCGGTTAGGCAGGAACCGGTGCCTAAACTATCCACCACCCAAAAAAAAAAATGGCGGGAGAGCAGTATTAGGCACCGGTTAACCGGTGCCTATTAAACCCTATGGCACCAGTTTTGAACCGGTGCCAAATATGGGGTTTTTGGCACCCCTCAAATAGGCAGCGGTTCAAACCGGTGCCTTAGACCGGGTTTGAACCGCTGCCTAATGCGTTTTTTCTACTAGTGCATAATTCACTCACATAGTCATAGTCTCCAATGGTTGAACGCACCGAATCATCCAACATATTACTAATCCATGAAACAAGCATAGAGTTGACTGCTATCCAGTGCTTCCTCTGTGAAGAATCGGCAGCAGGCTCCTTGATCGAGCCATCCACAAACCCAAACTTCCACTTAGCAATCAACGCTCTACGCATAACCTTAGACCACTCATCATAATTCGCCCCTCGCAGTTTTATTGGGGTAATAATAATGCCGGGATGATCACTCGATCCCAAATGATATTCAAGATCAAGAGGGGGTGGTGGTGGCGGAACATCATCATCACCCTTTGCCATCACCAATTAGTTGATTGTGAAGAAAAAAAATTATTTTATGGCTTCTCAAACCTAGCTCTTGATACCATGTCAAAATTAACTCAAGATCTCAAATTCTCATTATGCCTCAATGTGTACATATATAAGCTACAATATATTCCTAATTATCTTAGATTTAGGAATAATATCAAATCATATCTTTACATAAAGATAACTAAGGAATCCTAACAATATTCCCTAAATATTATCTTTACATAAATATAATATTATCTCAACAAACCTCATCGATGAAACCAACTCATTTAGTGAACGAGCCTTTCAATTTACGAATACAATAGCCTTAAACGAATTGAGCTTAAATAAATTATTGTAGCTTGGTTCTAGCTCAAATTCAAATTCACCTAATTAGTACTCAACCAATTTGTTTGTACTCGCAACATGTATGCTTATTCATTCAAATTAAACCTTGAGGTAGGGTAATTCTCATATCCAAACTTGATCAAATTGAATCAAAGAAAGAAATTTTGATAATTCAAAACCCGGAGATAAAAAATAAACCACCAACATTAGGATTTTTTTTTTCTATATTTTGAATGTTTCAACTGAAGGTGGGGCATTTTGTGCATTATTGGACTAGATTGTAAAGATGGATCAAACAACATTTTTATTTCCCTCAATATAGACTTTAGATTGGGCTGAACCGTGAACTCCTAAGGGCCCAACGTAATGCATGTCTTATTTCTATCTAGTTCATCTTAATATTTTGAAGCCAGATACCACATATTGATAGAGAATACACACTAAATATTATCGTCTTAATATTCAAAATATTTTTGCATAAATATAACTTTGTATTTTAATTAAGAAAATCATTTTCGTACATTTCAAAAAACATACAATAGTCATAGGATTCATTATGAATTAATTACAAATACATTATTGAAGCTCAAAAGATCATAAATCAACTAACTTAACTCCCCACCACAAATCATCACAAGCATTAATATGAGGATAAAGTTTGGTAAAGTTAGTAATCCTAGTCTTGCCCTTGCAATCATATTGTGGAGGAGTATGAAAACAAGGCTCCATAGAAATGCCTTGTTTACAAGGCGGATCCGAGTGCTTGTTCTTCCCTAAACTAACCATGATCCATGGTCTTAACCCCCCTAAACTTTGGGCAACATACCCAAAAGTGGACTGAGGGCTAGTCACTAACACATCACACAAACTAAGCAGATATATTTCAGCCAATGCTTTCATGTTATGCATGTTGTCACCAAATTTTTGGTATTCTTCATGGCTTGGTTGATAAACTCCTATCACATCTCCATTCGTCGTTGGCCTTGTCCAATACATACTCCTCAACCTCTCAGCATACTCGGGATATAATGATGCTACTAGTACAGCTTTTGATTTCGAGGTTGTGTTTTGCCATGGAAATTCTAGAGATTTTTTTGTGTTATCCAATGAGGGTAGTATGTTATGGGATTGGGTGCATGATAAAATTTGTGACATTATATTCTGGAATGGAACGTGTTGATGATCAAAAACCCTGATTTGGAGGCCGATTTTCTCATCTGCTTTAGCTAAGTAGGCTTCATAAAATCTTGTGATTAGTCCCCAAGCCTCATTGGAAGGGCTAAAAAGGTAGTGTCCTAATTGGTGAAAAACTGCATCCTTCTCTAGGAACATTTTATTTAGCTCTTGCTTATAGGATGAACTCATGAATAATGAAGGCGCGAAATATTGGTCTGATATTATGATCAAAACAGGGATTTTCTGTAGGGAGACAAGAGTATCATTGCAATGAAAATGCCGGATGTTATGATCACCATGCCCATGTTGTATATCAAGGTGCACAAAAGACGGCGAAAGCCCACTTTCCCCTGAATTTGCCCTGTTTTTAAAGGTTGGTAGTTGACTCCAACGGTTTTTATGAGGGAATTTTTTGGGTAGAAGCCATGTTGAATTAGGAAATGGTTCACAAAAGAGGCCATCCATATCAGACTCAAACTCAACTAGGAAAACTCGATTTTCAAGTAGGGAATATAGGAAAGCTGAAGCCATGCTAACCATTCTATTTCCTAATCCATTTGCAGGTGTCCAAACTAAGTACTTGCATGGTGTGGTCTCAGTATCATGTATGTGCTGTGTTCTTGATAGCTTGCTTATAATTTTTCTGTAGGACAATGATTGCGGTCCACACCGTGTATGGAGTTCTTCATAGCTCCGTAATTTGGAAATCAAATAAGAAGATGGTTTATAAGGCTTGTTTTTATGGTATGAAGAGTATTGGTACCTGCTTATGCATGATTCTTTAACAAATCCTGAAGCTATAAGCTCATCAACCAGTTTGTGCTGCTCGATAACAGGCTTGCTGCTAGGAATAGAACTATTTGATGAACTGTTCTGTCCATCTGTGAATAAATCAATGAAAAATTGTGAGCAATTCATGTAATCACACAAATAACCAAAAATTTGTAATAACCATACTTCGTATTTCATAACAAATTGAAATCAAGCACACAACTAGAAGGAACTATATATGAATATTTTTGAGTGTAGAAAAGATCAAATCTGACATTCAGGCTGGTTTCGGGTGCTATTTTCTGGCCCGGGTTGTGGCCTAATCTTCAGTTAGTTAACCTTTAATCGGCCTGGCACAATGTATATGGCCGGACCGAAAAGACCAGCTTTGCACATGATTGGTTAATCCAGACTAATGTGCTGTTATAAGACCATTACCTGCAGCCAATGGTGTAACATCCTGTGAAAGTCCTCCCAACAGCTTAGTTGAGCTCTCCTTCAAAGGTTTTTCAGTTGTATCAAATGGCTCAGCAAGAGGTTTCGAGTCTTTGAACAAGATCAGGAAAACAGGCAGACTTATGAGACAAACAATCAAGATCAAAGTGACTCTTGAATACTTCCATCCTTCAGTGACCCTCTCAGTAAATCGTTCAACGAGTTGCATAGTTTGAGAGATGTGCAGTGTTCTCATTTTTGTTAAAACCAAATAATGAGCCAAAACATCCTCAACAATCAAAATTACGCGATCAATCAATAAATAAGTTAAGTACTAGAAATAATGATGTAAACCTGCTACTTTAAGTTACTAGAATTGGGTTAATATATATGCATAAGAGTCATAAAAGGGTGTGATCTGAAGCTGTCTTAGCTAAATTTAGTGTACTAATTCAGCAGCTCACATGCAAAATGGGTGCTTTAAGTAAACAAAAAGATGGGTTTTCTTGCACTTCAATTAACAGGCAGGAATTTCTTTTTTTTTTTTTTTTTACTGGAATTTCAGTGAAATGGCCTATAAATGGAGTTGTAGACTAGTTGTAGTAACATCAAGCTGCTGTTATTTTCTGGACAGTAAGAACAGTATACAGCTTAAAAGCTTGTTATTTGTATATTTATGAAAATCTTTAACTGACGCGTCTTTCTATTTAAACTCTAAAATTCAGAAAGAACAAGTTTGGAAGTAAAAAAAATACGGATTAGATCGATTTAATATTTTATTAATCTAACTTTTAATTTTACTGAACGGTAATTGTTTAGATAACTAATTTGACGATTAACCTCTAACATATACGGAGTACTCCATAACAAGTAACATATAACCTAACAAGTAACATACAGCTACGAGTACGATTATAACATACAAGTATACAACAATTACTAGTACTGCTAGTTTTATGGAACAAAACCTTCAACCCCCAAAATTATAAAAGCATAAATAATGTAATAACGATAATGATTAGCCAAATGATTAAGACACAAAATCGATTTCAAAAGGGTATAATTGAAGTTAAGGAGATGATGTAAAAAAGCTACGTTTTCACCAAAAAGAGACGAAACTAAATAAACCAATTATATGGCTTAATTAAACGACAATTTTGCTTAACCTTACTTCTAGGCCTAACAAAAGTATACTCCACTAACCAACATACTACGTATGTATTTATTACATGTAGAATAATGTTTTACTCCGTAAAAATTACAGAGTACAACTTATCAAAAGTAATACAGTACATCCTGCCAGAAAAAAGGAAACAGATTAACAGAATAACTATCTATTGAGGGATTTGAAAGAATTAAAACAACATGATTCACGTCAACAATTTGCACGTCATGTTACTGTTACTCATGTACCTTGATAAACTACCCTCTGTCTCAACATAATTGTTGTACGAGTTTTAATTATAACAAAATCAACAATACATTTTGGTATTACCTCCGTTTTTAAATATTGGACCCAACATAAATCATGTTTTATTAATTTCATATTCTCTCCAATTCTTTTTCCTACATTTGTTTTTTTACAAATTTTCATTCTTTCACCTACCCCAATATCTTCATATTTTATTACGAATACTTTCTCCAATTTCTTCTTCTAACACTCCGCAAATGGAGAAATGAAGCAAGTTTCTTAAAAACGGAGGGAATAACATTTATAACAAAGCACAGGGAAAAAATAGTCTAGTGTGATGTTATTTTTGTCTTGATCACTTTTTTAAAATATTAATTTTTTTTTTGTTTATAATACTTCATATTACATAAATAAATATATCGATGATCAAAATTGTATTTTAGTAACCGTAACAAGTCGTACTTGACAGGTTGGGACAGGAAGCAATGAATAGATCGACTATAATAAGCCATGTACATTCATGTGACCATAACATAACACTTTTTCTTAATGCTTTCTCTCAAAGAGTTAATGAGAAAGTGTGTCCATAAAACAACAGATAACATCAATTACTCAATGAGTAAGTGATCTCGTTTTTTTATTTCTTCAAAGATTGTCTCACAGGTAAACTAAACAGGTTACAAAACAACTTATTGCCAAGATACTGGCGCCAAGCCGCCAAGCAATCAAGCATGGTTTCCAACTTCTTCCTTCAGTACAACCAATTTTATTAGAAGATATTATGTACAATTTTTATGAATGCTTTCCAAAATTTTGTTATCTAAGGAACTACCAATTCTAAAAAATTTACATTTCCCTTTATTGTAAAGGCCAAAGTTTAAAACATGCCTTTCTTTTCACCTATTTAGGTCGAGTCTTATCTCACTCCCACCCTTCTCGTCCAAGTTGCTGGACTGCCCAACAGCCACACAAAGAACAGCTTCAGAGTCTGCAAGTACACAGCTCATATTATTAGTATGTCGTAACAGCAAATACAAGTTAAAGTAAAGCAAGACTTTCTGAAGAAGTGTCCTTAAGCAGGCAACAAAATAGATAAGCGTTAATTAGCAAGCCTATAGCAATGTCATTGTTGTATTTCCAAGAAATCATGTTATCAGCATCATTGAATCAGATAAGATTTAAACTGACACTACCGTGCAGGCAGACAAATACCACAAAACCAAAAAGACAGATTTTGAGCCTGTAAGTAGGGCAATCCCAAGATATAATTATCTATGGCTTATATAAAAGAAAATTTAGAATGTGTCCCTTTTCTGAAAGCTGTCATACACCTACACAATGTGATGCCGGGTTAGGGATAAGGCCAGGAATGTTAACGACGAAAGAATAAAAAGAAGAAGAAACAACCTACAAGCTCATAGATCATACACATATCATAACCTATGAATATTGAATATCACTGCATAAGGCTTCAGAGGAACAAAAAACAAAAAATTGTATGATGCTATTAAGAAAACAGGTCAATTCAGAGGAGAGGGGCATCAACAGATTAGAAGTTACCAATAGGGTAATATCAAGATATTGACATTGTCTTCAAGCCAACAACTTCACCTGGAGTTGCAACAGAAGCGCCACGTTTCACTGCACCAACATCTGCTTCCAAGTCAAATGAAAGTTCAAGGCATCTCTCAACAGGCTTATGAGCTGCTGAAGTTTCAGCCTTCCTGAAATCTTGCATCCCCATCCCTTTCTCAGCGGAATTTCTCAATTTACTTGAACTTTTCTTTCTTATTATAGAAGGCATGCTAAAGCTCATAGCAGAATTCCTCAATATAGATTCTGGACTGCCAGTACTTGTAGGGGTATATACATGACTAGGTGGTGTAGAAAGATATAATGGACTGTTAGTTTGAGCATCATTGTTCTCTACATAATTGACTCCATATAACTGGCCAGTCTCTGAAATTCTTAACCCAGGAGGCTCATAGCACAGATTTCCGTAACTTGTACCTTCAGAATCTGTAGATATACCATTAATTCTGTTTTTCTTCTTGCCCTGAGCATCATCCCCACTGAAATCAGACATTCCTAAACTCAAGAAAGGCTTGTCTAAACTCCTGAACACCTGATCAACAGTTTTGCTACCACTTCTTGGCCTTTTGGGAGACTCCAGTGCTAACATAGTTAAGGGTGTAGCCTTATAGTTTGTTGAAGGAAAATTCAAGCGAGAACCTGCAGTAGCTGTACTAGATAGCTGAAGATCTGCACCAAGAGGAGCATCTTGTTCATCAAACAACATCCTGCTTGGTCGGTTTAGTCTAATTTCTGAACGGTAAGAATTTCCAGGAGTATTTCCAAGGGCTAATTCAGTAGAGCAAGTTTCAGTACCATAGATTGTTGCTGTGCAGCTATCTTCATAAACATTTGCTGCAGCTTTGACTCTGCAGAGGTCTAACTTTCCCTCATAACAGTTTGCTTCGAATGTAGTCGTGTTTATGCTCTGGGTAAAACCATGAGGCGATCTTGCATCCAACTTCTTTTTTAAAGAGCTATTCCAGTGATTTTTTATGGCATTGTCCGTCCTGCATGTTTCCGACACAAGAAGTCAAAACATAATTATTGCTGAAAATTGACTGCACCTAAACAGTAAACAATCTGTATCATGTCAGCATTTAGTCATGGTAAGATTGCCAATTTAAATACAAATACCTTCCTGGAAGAAATCTTGCTATTTCTGCCCACTTGTTGCCATATCTCTGGTGATAGTAAGTAAGAAGTGATTCTTCCTCCTCTGTCCAGGCATCTTTCTTTATCGCAGGGTCAAGATGGTTGTGCCACCTACATGAGAACCAAAAATGAGGGGGAGGAAAAGAAAAACCAAAATTAAACAAAACAAAACTTTTGCCTCCAATTAGTTGCCTTGTATTCTTATTTGCTTTTAGTGAGCAGAAATGCAGAAACAGAGAGAGAGAGATCATAATAGCTACATATATAATTTACATTCAACCAGAAAAAATGATAATCTTTTATTGCCTATCATAATAGAAATACAGAGATTTCCCTTTTCAATTTTCATCATTTTTAAATAAGTACTACTAGTATATGGTACATTTTAGAACCTTTGCCTCAACATTTAGCATTAGTAGTGGGATTACTAAGCAATGCCAGATGATCCCTCTTTTGACCATCCAAACCTTTTATCCCAAACAAGCAAATTATAATGCACAATCAATTTCCCATTATAAACATTTAGCTGTCTAACTGATAAAAGTAGAACAAAGAAAATCATTATAGGCAAAATGTGTCAGAAGGTAATGATCAGAAAAATATTTCACCATATCCTTTCTCACAATATTCATACATTTTTGCATGTCAGGATCAGGGATATAATGCACTAGAGAAATATTTACCTCTCTCGACATTGCTTGCCTATCCGACCAGGCAACCTCTTTGCAATGACAGACCAGCTCTTGCAACCATGCATCTGAACCATCTCCATGATACAATCATCCTCCTAAAAGATGATAGATAAGTTAATCAAACACAATATTCATAGGCATCAGAAATATCAGCAAGCACAATATCGAGTCTTTAGAAGCCACTTCCAGTGAGAAAGAGCTTAAATTGTTAAATTCACCTCCTTTGTCCAGGGTCCTTTAACCAGTTCAGGATTAAGAACTTTTTGCCACCGATGTAGGCATTGCACATCCGTCCTTCCCGAAAAATGCTCAGCTGTAGGAAATTCAAAGACATAGTCAATAAACAGCTTATAAGCAACTACAAAACTTCACTAGATACAATTAAAGTACATATTGACCATGTAAAAAATTCAACTCACATAAATTCCTTGATCAAGCATTTAACCATTTTATGTTAAACAGCTAAATTCAAACTGATTGCAATGCCATCAAGGTCTATCATATTTCAGCTGAACAAAAGTTGCTTACAACAATTAACACTAAATCCTTCAATAGTTCGGAGTACTATAAAAACAAATGAAACTACTATGTATAAAGGTTTGTACTCGCCTATTTTTTTCCAATTCTTCCCATTGTGTTTCTTTACAGCAGCCGTGAGAAGATTGTCCTGTTTTCAAGATCAGCAAGCCAATATAAGGCAAACACATTGATTTAATCTAGTCATACACTACACTACACTACACCACTACACATACACATCTGATTAAACACTAAACTAGTGTCCCAATTTAAAGCATGATAATCAAAATATGGAGGATCTAAGAGCTACCACTCACCTCTTCCTCTGTCCACCCACCCTTCGATGACCGTCTTGTCGGACCACTTGTCCTTCTAATCAACACAAACAACATTAGTGGATCAGCCTCTACCATAATTTGAATGCCTGTTTCAACACTAAAGAACAAAAACACCTCCTCAAACAGACAAACTAAAGTATGAACATTGTTACATTTATAAATAGTTATG